TTTTGAAATTTAAGTCGTTTAACTCCTTGCAAATGTTTGTTTCATAATTAAGGCCTCAAATTTTAACTAAATGCGAGTGCAATGAGCTAGTAACGGTAGGTTTTTTATGTCGGAATTTACTTTTTCTGGTACGTGAATGACTATAAAACATATCAAGATATATCATCCTAAATTCTTAACAAGATTCCCCTAAAACGTTTTAAATCTAATTGATATAAACATATTTAAATAATAATAAACACACTATATTTAACTGTCAATCAAATTCGCGCCATATGGTTAAAATACTTATTTCACTTCAACGGTGTGATTCTTTGTATATTGTGAATGCCTTGTTATAATGACTATGTATACATTAGTATATTTCATTTTAGAGAGATGATAATAGATCGCAAAATGCAATTTATATTATGAATGGCACTGTTATAAGACGTCAGTATCAATTGCACGAATGTCTTCATCTTTTGTATCACCACTTCCGTTACATACAGTTTAGATTAATATCACTGTTTGTCGTTTATACATCTTTAATTACAGGCCACGTCCTTAACATTTTATATTCTTAAAATTACGTTACATGAGCCGATTCTTAATAGGGCATCACTACCTTTCAACCTTTAAAAAGCTTTTCCCACGGTTTACCGCTATTTATTTGAATGGATCAGCATCTATGATACCATGTGCATATTCATTCTTAAAAATCTGTGAATGAATGCGTCTCAAAATTAAGTGTGATCTTCTATTTTATTTGTTGAAAAGAGAGCTTTGTGGTATTTCTTTTCTTATATTTTGATTTTTTATATGGTTCACGACACTGCAATCTGTTTTAAATGTCTGTTTGTAGAAGCAAACGCTCATGTCTCAAATTACATCCATATGTTTTCAATCTTTTTTTTCTCTTTAATATCAATACAATCTCATTATGGAGTTTGATTACCAGTGTACATCCTGTTGTGTTAAAGTACTCTTTCAGTTCTCTTTTGCAGTGATGTACAATAATTGTAACAAAATAATTAATACCCTGAACCAGTATTACAAGTATTTCGTGAATTTGAGTACCTCTATCTTCTCGCACATCTTTCAGTTTGATGTATTTCAATAAAAAAAACCTCTAACATCATATTCCTTAATTAATTTTTTTAAAAATGTTTTAATTAAATAATTGTAAGATTTGCAGCTCTTTGGTCAATTCCACTATTATACACTTTATTTAATCCACTAAGAAGTTATGGTCGCATAATAAAATTGAACTTAAAGGAAAGTGTTGCGAGTTCATTATAAAGAATGGGGAAACATGAAGTTTTAAACTTGAAAAAGAAGATACATTCTAATAATTAAAATGATATAGATAAAATGTTTGTTGAAATCATTCTTTTACAATTGCATATCATTGCTAGAAATACAGTAAAGGATGACATAAAATTGAAAATTTAGTATGTTTTTAACTTTCATTTATATCTACGCATTTATATATAATCTCTTACACATTCAAACTTTTCACGAAAACAATAAAGAACTTGGAAAAGTATAGTGATTTGTATTTGATAGACGTTATTACATGTGATTGATTTTAACACGGTATGAGTAAACGACCCTTAATGTCATTTAACAAATGACGTCAAAAGACGTTAACGTTGTTTTTTTATAAAGATTAGACAAATATGAATAAGAAACAAAAAAACAAATTTCAGAAGATTTTATTTGATTTCAAGAGAAATAGAAATGGATATGTTTAAAAATCAAATATGTCAATTTATAAAAATAGTAATACCTGTAATCAAATGTTGATGACCAAAGAAATTAGACGATAATGAAATACAACAATAAGATGTATTTGAGGTAACACATTAGACTTCAGTTTAGTTTGCGCGAATTCTTTCAAACGTATAAATAATTAGCATTTTGTACTTTTCTATACAAGTTTATGTGATGACACATTACATTTATTTTGGATATGACTTAATATCTCGGAATTTAGTCATAACATTTAAAGCTATCATTTATATTTTTAGATATTATATCATAAATTCAAATATTTCTATACGAAATAAGAACACACTTATTCATCGCCTTTTAAAGCATGTCACATGCTAGTCTACTTATACTTTATCTTCCGTTATACAGGTAAAACGATGTAATTAATACACAACGAGCTTCATCAACGGTTTGTATTGTATTTTTGGAGGTTTTAAACGGAAAATTAAAATTTTAAACAATTCCCCAAACGATAAATAAAAAATTTGATTTTTCCCCCTTTTTAAAGGGCCTTTCCCCCCGAAAATGAGTTTAGTTTAAACATAGGGAATTTTGAAGCCTCAATCTTTTGTATTTTTTAAAACCCTGCGACTTTATAATGAAATTCTATCCCAAATTTTCAATTTATTTCGGTTGTTTTGGTTAGGTTTGCCCTTTGAAACCCTTGCTTTAAAAACAAAAATATTTGCCCCATTTTCCAATTGTTTAAAATAAAAGGTTTTCGGAAATAAGAAATCAAATTTTAAATATTTTTGTTTGTAGGGGAAATATTCCCATCAAATTTTCCATTTTGGGTTAAAAATCTTTTTTTGGTTTTCCTTTCCCTAATATTTTTAGTGTTGGGGGATGAAAAATACAGTTAAAAACCCGGGTGCAAAGGGGGTTTGGGTGGATTTTTGAACTTTTTAAAATTCCCGGGTTTAATTTCAAAATTAAACAGACAAAAAACAATCGATGCAGACCCAAAAAAGAACTACTCGTTTTGGGTTTTTAAGTGCTTTGAAGATGTCCCCAATTTTCGAGATTTGTGTTGCTCACAAATGATCACATTATGTAACCTTGTATCTAAATTATTTATGTATCATATAGTATAAGCATTTTCTTTTTATGCCGTCAAGCAGTTTTTTATTGCCTTTTTTCATTACAAAAAATGGTGCTCTCATTTTTACAGTGTTTATACCACGTGACTTTTACTGATGTGCGTTGGGCAGAAAACCAATGGTAAAGTCGGTCCAGGATTCATTTTCCCCAAAAAACATCTTTTAAATTCCATTATATTTTACAAGTGTTCAGTGAGTAATCCATACACAAATGTAAAATTGGAAAGATATAATATATTTGTTGAACAGTGAAATTGTGTGAATTTCTGATTGTCCATTGACGCGATTTCACTTTATGAAAAAAACGTTCTGATATTTGCCAAAAAAGAATAGGTTATGACTAGAATGAGGAAACTCTTTACTTTATGGCATTGAAAAAAATGAACATTAAAAAAAGTTGTAAAGGAGAACTGAGCTGGACTGACTCGCAGATCACAAAAAGTAACGTGATATAGGCACCGTGATATATTACAAGTTTAATGTTATCGAATTGTCATATCAGGACCAAAATTCCATATCTGTGTCCAAAATAATGTAGACTTATTTACAATGTCACATCAGTACTGTTTGTGCAGTGTGGTGCCTTTAAGGTTTCCCCCCCCTTTTGGTTTTGAAAAAAGAAGTTATTTTTTCAGGCCCCTTAAAGGGTTTGGGTTTTAAAAAAATTTTAAACTTTAGCACGAAAAAATTATTGGGGTTTTAAAAAATTTTTTTGATTTGTAATTGATCCTTTACTATTTTCCAGTATTTTCCAAATTGAAATAATCCCCCTTTGGGATATGTTACCTGTTTTTTAAAAAAAACGCCCTTTTTCTATGTTTACGAAAGGTTAAATAACATCTGGTCCCCTTTTCAAGATTCCTTTTGTTTTAGATGTGAAAACTTTGTTTTCTTGTTCGGGGCCCAAATGTTTTTATTTATGTTATTTCTTTTTTTAATGATAAAATTCTGCTTAACCCGGGTGCTGAAAAAATTTTCTTTTAAAACCAAAGTCTGCTTTATTTTCAATGTTGCCCTTTTTTAAACGTTCTTTGGGGAAATTTTTTTTCTATTTTATTGTAAAATTTTTTATCTTTCAAAAATAATGTTTCACGAAAATGAACTTTGTGGGTTTTTTTTTTTTTTATAAAACCCCTTCAAAAAAGCAATTTTGGGACCCTTTAAGGCATATTTCTAAAGGGTTTACATTTTTTAATTTTGTCTTTTGAAATGTTCTTTGGGGGATTTTCCCTTTTATCTTTTTTTTACACCTTTTGACATAAAAGCAGAATGAAATTTTTATTTTAAAAATTTCAAAAGATCTTTTGGAATGATTTAAAGGGAAAAACCTACCTCGGTTATCTGCTCTTTAATATGGAAATTTTGCTTGTTTCAAGGGCTGATAAGCAAGACCTTTATCTTTTCTGCTTTTCATGAAGCTGACTTCTTGTCTTGTCTTGTTATTGCGCAAAATTTCGAGAAATGGTCCTGAGTAGTTTTTGTTTTCTTTACTTTAATATGTGCTAATTTCGTTAAAAAAATTGTTGATTTAAAATAATTAAGACATATGTACTTTAACAGGATGAAGGGAGCATAGATATATTAAATGGAATTCAACGAAATTTTGTATCGTTACCAAGGAAATATGTTAAAAACATAAACCAGTTGTAAAAAGGTTAATAACACTTATGTATTTGACATGACATAAAAAAAGAAATCAAATTAAATGGCACTACTTGAAAACGAGAACGATGACCCCCAACTTAAAATGTTTCTGTTGTTATATTCTAATTTATGAGGTTAAATTTTAAAAAAAAATGTGTAACTATATTTCTATATGAGACCCTAGCTTACACATTTATGTTTTGTACCTAATGTTAAAGAAATGCATTCCATCTAACCCAGGACAATTGATTCTTGCAGCGCCTAACTTTATTTTAATTTGTAACTAAATAAACAAACCAAAATGCATTCCGATATTTGAAATATATAACATTTCGGGACACTTCGAAATCATTATTTTGGAACGTCATGGCAAAATTGTTAATGACGCCGCCATGAGCAAGACGAACCGCATCATAGATGTAAACAAGCGACTTGCTGTTCGGGAGTTTGTTTTGTTTAAGACGGTCAATTATTCAAGAAAAAATGGCAGGAACCGCAATGACATGATTAATGCCTGTTTTTATTTTGGGGTTGTCAATTATAAAAAATACAAATTAAAAACATAAAAAATAGTGTCCGTTATCATGATGAACACAACTGATATCGATTTATCTATAACACTTTAGAAACAAATACATAACAATGAAGTAAATCAATTTATGTTGTCGAAAAGGCAAATTTAAATGCATTTCTTAAACAATACAATGTCATCAACAAATAATTTGTTCAGGTACTAACAAGTCATTCTCATTAAATTTAAATTGTCTTTTGTCATAAAATCTCAGTAAAACAGGACTTTTTGGATGGAAAGTTTTCAAGTGCATGAAGTGTTCTCCTGGTTCTATTGTAGTATGTCCACACTCTTCACAAACATAAAGCTTTGTTCGTCTTTCCTGAAGAATAAAAGATATACAGTATTATGTTTGTGTCATACACAAATGAGAAAATGTGGAACGCATTGAAGGTCATTCATCACGGCAAATTGAAACATGTGCAAGTTAAAGTAAACTGTATCGGTCAATGTAAACTACCGTCCAAGCAACCTAGCACCGGCCTAAGCGGAAATAAGACAAATATGAAAATAAAACGACATATATTTTCATATAGAATACATGTGTGAAATGACGAAACGTTGGTGAAATATTTACGCTTAACTTTAATTTGCTCATCTATGTATCGTATTTCCTCTTGATTCGCCATGTCAGTGTATTTTTGGATTTTATTCTTCCGAAGAGCCATGCAAAAATATAAAAATGGAACTATCCATTCTATTTTTAAAAATATTAAACAAATTAAATGTTTTAAAACAAATGTGCAAACAAACGAGGCACGTGATACATTAAACATGTTGTTCATTTCTGAAATGTACTTCTGACAGGCAAGCTCTATTAGAAAGTGACATTGTAACTCCGTTAACAAGTATAATTATGTAACTTTAACTTATTAGGTTTACTGAGTGTCAAGTAATGCAGGAAGTCCCGTACTTCACTTCAGTCAGTGACGTTATTTTTTTTTGTCTTGAGGATCATTGATGCGAATACTCATTTTTTCTTGAAGACTGGATACTGCACGAGACGTGCACTTTCGATTATCTCTCTTGAACAGACACGAAGAAAACGAGTCTGTTATTTTCATTTTTAAACACTGTTTTCATTGTTCTCTAGTAATCTCCTGCTTTCCAGATTTTTTTTATTCTAGAGTAATATAATAATATACTAAAATGTGTTGTAAATTTTCGGAAACGTTTAATCTACCTTATATCCGTATTGGTACAATGAGCCATGGACCTTTTTACAGTGAGACTCCAGGGAACATCTCTGGGTAAATGATTTTCCACAACTATCACATTTATAAGGACGTACACCTGTTGGAAATGAAAACAAAAATTTAGTCAGTTGAATGTTGCTAATTTGAACAAACATTAAAATAGAAATTATAGGTATTCAATTGTTTGAGATCATTGTTTTTTTATTATAAAATTATAATATAGTATAACTATTCTGAAAAAAGGAATGTGCAAATGATCTGAAATGTTGCAGTCTAGACCTACATAGAATGGAACATTTATCTCGGATTTTTTTCCAGTTCCATAATGTAAAAACTCCTCAGTGGAGTCCCTTATAATGGCAATATGTATGAACAAAGAGAAATAAATAACAGCTAACCTGTATGTGTTCTTGTATGCCTCTTGAGGTCAAACGTGTCGTTAAAACCTTTACCACAGAACGTGCATAGAAAACGTTTGACGTCACTGTGACATTTTAAATGACGGTTTAACAGACGTTGTAAATGAAATGATTTCTGACACAGTTTGCAGACAAATCGATCTTCGTCAGGCTGGAATGCTAAAATGCAAGAGGTCAAATATTACAAATTATTTACTGCAAATAAAGGTATATCAAAGGTGCTGAAGAAAAAATAATAAATACTAGATACCGCACACATAGTCAAAGAAAGGAATGATATGACACTGACAAACTTGATCATAACACTAATTTTTCATACCCCCATATTAAAACATAACAAATGTTGGGCTATAACTATAGGAAATATGCATAAATCCATTATAAGACCTGGTTAATTGTATAAATTATTTTGATTTTAAGAAATTATAAAGGGTTATAGAAAGTGCAATACAAATTTAACTGAACTACAAAAAAAATAGAAGTTGCACAAAGATATATGGTCTGTTTAATAAGTTTAGTGATATTTTGAATACATTTGTACTTTTTGTATTTATACTTCCATATGTAAAATATTAAGATCTTAAGTTTGAATTACCTATAGGTCCGTGTCTGAATTCTGTTTGAGTTAGTAGCGGGTTTTTAATACCATAACCCCCATTTACAAGTTCAACTTTCTCTACTTTAGGGGCCTGAAATATACAAAAGTATACAATAATAGAACTGTTTGAACAAATATGTCGGATATTCATTGCATTTGTCATACTATATTGTGTTTAATCATCCGCCCAAGCTCTTAGATATATCAATTTTAGTGGGAGAAAATGTATAATTTTTTAGACTTATTTTAATTTACGTTCAAAAAATATCCAATGAAATGTTAAGATTTATAAGTTCACATAAAAGATACAACTAAGTAAGTATATAATATATACCTGAAACATTGAAGCTGATTTATCTGTCTGTATGACAGGTAAAGTATATACACAATTCCTTTGTTTGAGCTCAGCTAGACGAGGTTGATTATCGGCACTTTTCAAACCAAAAGTCGAGGAGACAATTTGTTGACTTGGTGATGCCATTTGAGGTATGGGTCTCCAAATATGAGGAAACATTGTTGATCTTTGGTGTAAAATATCTTGCGCCTTTGATTGAGACTGCTCAAAATTCGATTTACAATTTTCTGTTAAATATGTATTGGGCAATGTGTTTTTACTGATGACATTTTCAGAGGTTTTCACTACAGTACTTGTGTCACTACAGTCTATTGTTTCAGACTGTATTTTACATTCAGAGTGTTTGTTACAAATAAAAGCGTTGCCTTTCAGATCAGATATTGTTTTATTTGCATAAGGTGAGTGTACTATTTGTCGGGTATTTGGAACACTTGCTGACTGAGTTACAACACCAGACGACAACGGAGAATCCGGGGACGCAAGCTCATTTTGACGAAAAGGAAATGACGCAATTGGCGACAATGACAACGGCACAGAAGGTGCGTAAAATAAAGAGCTAAGTGGTACACTTCGAGTATCTGCTTCCTTTGAAGATGTTGTGACAACGTTAAAGTCTATAGTTCTTGATACGCGTTTAGATGGTAATGTAACATTTTCACTCCTATGAATACCTTTGATATTAACTTTTTTGTAATTGTATTGTTCAATGTCTTTTATAAGCGGAAGGTGAAATTTTCTTTCCGTCTGTAGTTTGGCAATATCACCATCAACTTCGTCAAAACTGTCACATGTGTCTTTTATCTCATGCTCAGATGATGAAGAACAGTTTTCTTCCACAGCCGGTTCTATAATTAAAGAATATAGACACAAACTTGTTAATTGTTATAAATCCAAAGGGTGTACACAAGTCAGTATTATAAAAAAATTAATAACATCTATATTTCAATCTGAACATCGCGTGTGTAACACGGATTAAGTATCTTAGTTCTTAAATTTTGCAATGATAAGGAGGTGGGAAGATTCCATTTCATGACAAATTTGTCAATTTCTACAGTTCGTCAAGCGGATAAATATCAAGAATTTCAAAATTTTGTTCCTGTAACAACTACAATAAAATTTAAACAAAAGATCTATATTTAAAACATTCTGTATTAAAATGAATAGTCAGTACTAAGTGAAAAAGATCTATTTATAAATATAACCATTTTGTCTGGAGTAAAAGATGTATGTACTTTATATTTCATTGTCTATTAAGAAAAAAGATAACAAATCATCCTTTTGAAATGAACACGTACATAAGTACAGATATGTGATGTAACACCATTTAACAGGATAATGGCTGAAGTGTTTCTACAACTGATGTCAATGTGGTTTAACGCCCTTTTTGGCGCTCTTTAAAGAGACCATTCATTTTTTCCATTTTAAAAAGTCATTTATAATCCGTATCCCACTAATGCCAGTGAAATAAACATTTTATCTTCATTAAACGATTATATGACAGTGACAGTAACGTACGTATCAACTTACTATTAGTTAATATATACAATGAACCCTGTAAAAGTACAAAATGCATTCAAGCGTAACAAGATTTAAAATACGATCGGCATATCAAATAAAAATATGAAGGTAACCCACACGAACAGGACCGCCAAAGGTTACATACATACCATGCATAATGCTTATGAGGGTTTACATACGGTCAAGGTCCTTGAATTATTCTTACGACTGATGTTTTATATACGAACAATATTATTAAGGTTACATATACGATCAAGGTCACATATACATGTACGATCAAATTTATTCAAGCATAAACAAACGACCATGTTGTGTACGTCCAAGTAAAATACGGCTACATATAAAAACAAGCTTATCACGGTCACACATATGACCAAGTTTATTTAAGTCAACCACACGACCAGCTTTTTTCAAGGTGAGATAAATACGTTTACGTTTATTAAGATTTTAATCATGCTAAAGCGTCTAAAAGTCACTCTTGAAAAAATCTAGTCTTGCTGCAATAATTCTGTAGAATTATATCGATAAATCTCTATCTCTTTTATCATATACCATCGGAATTAAATACAATTGCTGCCAATAAAAACATATAAGTACATTGTTCTTTTAATTATTAAACACAATCTAAGTAGCAAGTCTTAATTCTTTAAGCATACATTTTAGCAGTTGATGTGCTTTTTAGTGCAATAGGCATCTTTTGTTCAATTGTTCCTTAAAACAAATTAATACCATTTGTCTTAAATATGATTCTTAAAAGCCCTTTTGTGGCAGTATTGTTGCAATACGAAAAACATTTATCGCCAAAAAAGATAAACCATAATGACAACTTCACTAAAGGTGTCGATAATGTTGTGTTTAATATAGGAACATATAAATTCAGTGCGATATGACTATCCTATCAAGCCAGACACATCTCTGTTTAAAACATAAATAACAAACTATTTTTTTTACATTTAGTCTACGTTATGTTTCAGTATTTGCATGGGGACGTGGCCCTTACATGTACCACTTGGAAATTATAACAGTGTTTTACTTTAAGAATGGGGAAATGGTTGCATAAAAGGACGTCACTTGCATAAAGTTATAAGTGAGAAAATAGTATCCTTACTTCATATTAAGAAGAGCTTACACGTTTTACAAACTTTGACACAGACACTTTAACGATTAACGTCGTCAATTAATAAGGTACAAAGCTATATTACATTGGAATTATGACATTAAGTCATAAACGCAATAACATAATGCATACTTAATAATTAGACTTAGTGTGAATCGTCCGTTTAAATCGACTTAGATACATCTGCTATGTTCATCTTTTCACTCAAATGTAAAGCCACTACATTCATAATTATGATCTATTTTAACCGACACGAATCATCAAATTGGTTATCGCACTTATATTGGATATACCTTTATCTGTAAACGGCTTTTTATTCCATACAATGCAAGAACTCCTCCGATGGACTTTTCCATATTTTCTCCCAGCAAGGAATGACTTTGGCATTGCAATGTATCCTGTGTTGTTGTAGCAGAAAACAGAAAAATAGTTCAGCTTTATTCTTACTTCTTAAATCAAACTGTCGCAAGTTAACCAATATCTCTGTTACAAAAGGTCTGATTTGTAATTTGTCATAGATTTAATATTCCAAAGTTCGAAATATTGCCACTATAAGCTTCACTAACGCTTAACATATTCAGAAGGAAATGCATTTAAAACATATGTAACAATATTTTTATGTTCTTCCCTCCGTAAGTATAACCCATCAAATGAATTAAATTTTGGTTACTAAAGGGATGAGATTGCATGCAACATTAAACCGCCTCGCTGTCTTGCAATAACGGACTAAATTTACTGTTTTTCGCTAAAATACCCGTAAAGTAAACCACCCAATACGGGTGGTTAAAACATACACTGACACTTTATGATCCGCCCCGTTACCCAGGTAACGGTATCACTAACATAAGAAACTGTATAATTCGCTACTTTTCCGCTCGACATCTTAAAGTTTTCGAGTTTTAGTTTATATAGTATCGCGTAGTTTATGATGGGGTAGGGTAGAGGACATGTAAATAGGAAAAGAAGAATGTTTCTCACTTTTTAGTTTGTCAAATATATATTGCAAACGGATATTTTTTATTTTATTAAAATACATAGGTTTTAGTGATACACAACATGTACCTAACTTTAGAACTAATATACCTGTTGAGGTATTAATGATATTATCACTGACTTATTATTTTAATTATTATTATTATTATTATTGTTGTTTTTGTCGCTGTTGTTATTATTATTATTATTATAATTATCATTATTATTGTTGTAATGTGAGTTTATGTTTTAGTCAAGGCTTTATTTTGTCAGATAAGTTTGCACGTCTGTTAAATAAAGTTATTGCCAATTAACATAGTCAATATAGTTAAAAATTTAACAGATTACTTAGTAAGCCACTAAAATAATTCATAGCAAGAATATAGAACAATACCCAATAGAATGTAGCAATGGTGTCATTACAAAGACAAATTCTTGGAATTTATTTAACGGCAACGGTTGATCAAGTTTACTTTCTTTACCACTTGCGATTAATCACAAGACTTTAAATTTTATTAACTCATATTTCACTTCTAAATTAATGCTGTACCGCCGGTAAGATAGGTGATATTTGTGATTTACCAGGTCCATCAAAAGAAAGTGATACGTATGCGAGTTCTTTTATGAAATAACTGTCACATTCTTTAAGCGATATTGGCATAAAAAATACTGTTTCTCAAATCAGTTAAACGTCTATTTTTTTATGTTGAAATATTCGTTAAATCAAGAGCCGTGAATGGTGTTATCAGAAATAAACAAGAACATTTGTAAATGTTATTGTGAGACAATTCAACGATTGAACATGTATATTACAATAATACTTATATCAAATTAATTGAAGTTTAGAAAGCTATATATAGAAAGCTATATATATATATATGCTGTCTTCAGTGGAATTATCAAAACCTGCTACAATAGCAACAAATATTCTAATCTGTTTACGTTCAACATGTATATTAAATTACATAGACGTGTTACATGTCATTCAAGGAATGTCATACGGTTATTATGAAATATGCAAATATGCACTTATACAAATGATGATGCAATAGATAGTACGTTTCCAGTGGCAATATGCATGCGTTTAGTAGATACAGATTTTATTATATACAGGTAATTAGCAAAATGATTTAAAAAGCAAACTGTTTTGTTGGTCAATAGACCAGTAGTCCACCTACTTCCCTCAGTGTAAACAGAACGACTGTCGACTGCAGAGGTCAACCTCGGATTGCAAAAGCTGTGACAAATCTTACACCAACACAGCATGTGCTAATGTAATGGAACATTCTAATTGAGTTTTATTATAAGATTTCTTTGATTTTCTAAAAGTAACACCCTTTTTAGCTGCAGTCATTCGGCACATGATTCATGCATCGGTTCTCAGACTATCTTAGTCCAAATAGTCCTTTTTCATCGAAGGTAAATCAAAAAACGTAAAATAAATTAATAATTTCTTGAAAAAAATGGAACTTATATAGAATAAGTAATATGTAGAAAAATGTTATGCTCATAATTCTTTTTAAAAAGTTATTTAAATGTGAAACTGTTATTATTTTACCATATGTATATTATTATATTTTTAGTTTCGAACAACATTAGTGTCGTTAATCCATTAGTTCACCGTTATTCTCAACATAAGGATGAAATAAGTACCAGTATACCAGAATGACTCGCTTATCAAAGTACCAGAAACAGCACAATCTTTAAAAAATATGAGGTTATAATGAAATCAGTCATTATTATCACGATTGATTTGACATACATGTACAAGTTAGGAAAATAATCAATTTTATTTCTATATACCATATCATTTTATAATATTTCATCTTACAACGTTATTTATAAAGACATATAACGGGGGTAAGTCTTGTTGCAATTTATACTTCCTATAATTGCTGATTTCGGAGATTGTATGCGTTGCTATAGAAACTTATATAAATCAATGTCAATCTTATGGAAATAGTAGTTTCATTTTGTTAAATGCGTACATGATATCACATTAAAGGTCTGTTACTGCTAAGATTATATTTTCAAACATCATAAATAACTTTAATGTTGTGCCACTGGACACGCAATAATAAGGACCCTACTGACAGGTTTCTTTCATTTTGATGTATTAATCCCATTCTGTTGATATATATATCATTAAAACTGATGTTATCTACTTAAACTGAATACAAATTAAACATTAAAAGTAAAGACTTTGACAACAAAATATGCATGAATGTAATCCGGTATTTTAAGACATAAAACTGATTTTTTTAATCTACATCCGCTTTACATTTGAACTAGGATAATTAAAGAAATAAAGATATGAGATTATTATGAAGTCTTGCGTACAATACTGATTTTAATGGATGCACACACAGCTATCAGAACTATATTGTACGAGGAGCTAGCCGAGTCCGATATAGATTTTGCAACTGTGTATGAGTCCATTAGAATCAGTATTGTTCTCAACATTGTGTAGCCACCTTTTTAATTTACACCAATATTTTCGAATTTTTGACAGATTTTTGCAACTTTGAGTACAATAAGTATTTTGTGCAAGATGAAGTACGATAGTAATTTGAAGAAAACGAAAACAAGGCTTAATTAATAAGACCGGATACAATAACAATTAACTTAGGGAAATTACATAGTGCAAACGCTTAAAGCTTAAAGGCACATAATGCCTCAGAAATCCATATTTAATGCTTTTTAAAAAAAGTCAAAAATGTGTTTAATATTCAATTTGTTTTAGTTATGGATTGAGAACATATTAAATTAACAGAATTATTTAACAGAACAAAGTTGCGCTGTATGTGCAGTAAGGTGTCAAAAAAGGTAGCAAAATATATACAAAGTAGTATTTTGACTTCCATACAAAATACTCATTCACTATGATAATACCCATGGCCAACAGAGCAAAAGAATAGAAGAATTGTTCACTTATGTGACAAATGAGGGTTTTTTTTGAAACTGTAACAAGATACCAAAAAAAATAAAAGAAGGTTTTGAGAAATAAAAATGATAGCATTTCTGAGGTATATAAGGGCCTTTAATAAGGTTTAAATTAATAAAATATTCACATATTCTCATAATTATATGTAAAACCACAAGCACTTTCAAATAATGATATGATCTACAGAAAAAAAATGCAAATACAATTCAATTTTTCAAAAAGTATTTATTAACAAAAAGCTATTCGGTCTCTTTTTTATAGTGAAAGTGCACTTAGTTGCATCGATGATAATTAATCAAGTCAAATTTACATATTAACAAAAAGTTGTGTCATATCTTATCAAAACCTTTGTGCCGTGAAAGCCACGAGAAAAGTTATACTATTGTGTACGGGACTATTTTATATGTAAATTGATAAATATACTTCGACGGCAAGTAACGGGGTGTCATAAAATTATGCAAACGATATAAATGCCGTGCACGATTATTAATATAAATTTTAAAAATCATACATTCCCTCTTAGTCACTATCAACTGCATTTTGATATTACACGCCTCCAATATAAAATCCTAGAATATCACGTCATTAAAATATTTAGACTACTAGTGTTACCGTGTAACCATAAAAGACGGATGCCCGTCCCCCAACCTCCCCCCCGCCCCCAAACACATACATTCCACTATTTTGTCAGTCTAAAGACAGACAACGTGAATAGCAAGACATATAAATTAAAGCTTTTATTTAGAAAAAAAATAGAAAAGAAAGCCTAAATCCTTATATGTTTTATCTAATGCATTGCGAGTTAAAGGTAAGGAAAAGGTGAAAAATGTTTTAGAAAAAAACCTCAACAAAGTATTTCCATGTGAATTTTAGATCACTTTAAAGAACAGCCAACATATGTAATAAATGTGATTAATAACAATGTTGGGGAAAGGGCAGAGATGGAATACATCCTTTTTAAAGTTGATATATTTTATCTCAAAACGGAAACGCCTTAAAAATAGACAATAGAAAGAAAAAAGGGGGTGTAAATATTTTTTGAATTACAAATCTTTCTAAAACGCCTCTGCAACTATGTTTTCACATCAGCAGTTAATGCCCAATTAAAGTCAAAACATAATTATATCGCCCATGTGATATACCGGATTTTATAATTATTACCGGGACAAATAAGAACTCGTGTCTTAAGACATGCCTTTAATTAATTTTTTAAAGTTTGTAAAACCTTGAAAGCTATATACAATGATTGCATTACCAGTACTTAAGAATTGTAGTGGGCGGCTGTGCAAAAATATTATTATTGATATGGGTTATGACGCACTTTTTCGTTATCAGATATATGTAGTTTTTTATTGCTTTTTGTTGTTGTGTTGTTGCTGTTGTTGTTGTTGTGTTTGGGTTTTTTTCAGTAATTTGTTATTAAATGTAAAATGTCATGAAAGGTGGTCTCTTAGCAATCTCATCTCAGAAAAAAGGTTGAACAATGGACGAGACATGATTTTCATCAAATTCTGCTGTTGTCATGATATTTCCCCAGATATAAAAATCAGAATCGACACAAATTAAATCAGAAATGTCATATAAGCAGACAAACATTGATATCAAGTAGTATCTTCATAACCTAGATAAAGTCATATGAATATGTTAAAGAAATATGTTTAATTAATGCACAAACAATTTTATATTACAACTATAATAAAGATTATATTCCAGAAAATCTTATTTCAATTGTTAAACAATAATTGATGTTATAGTTATTTTCAGTGATTTAGAGAATCTTTTAAATAGTATAA